AAAAAAAAAACATTACTGCAGCTATCACCACAGTTTATGAGAAAGGCAGCCAGATTGAATTTTTAAATCACAGTTCAGCAATTTTTGACTTTCCATGTAGGAATTTTTTTTAAACAAAGATTTTATTTTATTTTATTGATTTTTAAGTTTAACTTTTTAACATACAAACAAACTGAAAAAAACCCCACAAGGAACACCCCCCCCCCCCCCCACACACACACACACACAGGATCAGTCAAACATACACAAACATACTAAACAGGCATTGACATACTTTCCACATACATTACAAAGATCTGCCAAGTGTCCCAAAAACTTTTTACAGAGCCCTTCAGGGTATATCTTATTTTCTCCAAATGGATATGATACATCACCTCTCTTATCAAATGTACATATACTGGGGGGTGTGGGTCCTTCCAGCTGCACAAAATTAGCCTCCTGGCCAGAAGAGAGCCAAAGGCAATCACAACCTTCTTGCATTTGTTGAAGGATGTATCCACAGGGATCACCCCGAACAGTGAAGTACCATACCATTTTATTTATAGAGCACTTAAAACCGCGACAGGGCCAACCAAAGTGCTGTACAGACAGAACAACAGGTAACACACAAAGCAAAATACAAAATGAAGTAAATCAGAAATATAGACATAAAAACGATGCAGATAATGACGACTAACCAGTGTGGAGCGTACAGGTTCAAAACAAAGATCATCTGGTGTTGAAAGCTACCAAATAGTAGAAATTAGTGGTGATGGGTGAATAGTTTTGCCATATAGTCCAGGGAAGGTGTCAAATGTAGATTGCCAAAATTTCTGCAGTTTGAGACAGGTCCAGAATGTGTGCAAGAGTGTAGCTGGTGTTTGTTTGCAACAATTGCATGCGGGGTCCAGGTCGGCCTTGATCTAGGAAAGCTTGTCTTTGGACAGTGCAACCTGTGCACTACCTTGAATTGAATTAAAGCACGTCTTAGACAGATTGAATATGAGTGAATTTTTTAAATAATCATTCCTCAAGTTGCATCTGATATGGGTTCCGCCAAGTATG